TAGGATGCATTTCATGTTTGGTAGTTTACTATCAGGTGTCATAATTTTAAAAGTATTTGCTGAAAAGTCTGATGAGTAAAATCTTATCATCAGATCTTGCCTAATGTATTTTTACCTTCAGCTTAGCGCTGTCGTTGGGTGTTAAGGTGTTCAGAAATTGTGCAATATTCTCTTTCAAATTATTGTTGGTGAATTTGCTCAAAATTTTGCTGTATGATTTTCGAAGCATCTCATATTTGTCACGGGGTAAGCTCTGCAAAGCTCGTTAAGTGTTTATTCATTTATTGCAAGCAAGAAAGTGATAATAACTTCGGATTATTAGTGTTGCTGAGGATGTCAATGTTTAGATCTTGACATGGTTATTGCAATTTCAAAATTATATTAACTTATAGGGTAATACATTTGAAAAAAGATGGATTTCGTGACTCTTTAAACACTTTATACTAGGAATATTGGTAAGGTAGTTTATTTTCTAATTTATTAGTTGAATGATAAATAATTATGTGTGGATCATTGGTTACCTGGTATTTGCTGAGGTAAAAGACCCGAAGTGATAGTAAATCATTCGTTCTTTCTAGAAGATTAACACGATCTCGTTCGTCATTTGTCATATTGAGAGTGACAAGTCGTGCAATTTCTACACTTGGCCTTTCTTTATCCATGAATTCACTTAGAGCTGCGATTTCGTCGTCCGTACACATTGATGACATCAAGAAATCTTATCATTTTTGCAAAGTATCAACAAATTGTTATAATTAGTTGTGCTTGCAAAAGTTTAAGCTCATTTATTTTCAAGATTCAAAAATACATATTCATTTGTAAAAGTCTGTTCTTATTTGACTTATCTGTCAGTGTGTAAATACAAATTATATACAACTGTAATATTAAATTTCATTTCTCTATTACATTATTTTTATAAATGAAGTAAAAGAATGAAAAAAAGTAATTATAAAGTTGAAAGAGCAATAAATTATAAAGTTTATCAAGTAACTTTATTTCTGAAGATTCTGTCGATTTCATCAAATTGAGCTGTTTGTGTTAGTCGGTCCATATTCTTGCGAAAATTAGGATCAATGCCAGTAATTGTTCTAATTTTACCCATGCATGTATCGACGTTTGATATGAATGATTGCCATGAATAAGTATTATTATTCTTTTCATTGATCTGTTATAATATTCTTCCTCATTTAAATTTGTCAAAATATTATCATTTTTCAATACTACCAATTTGAAGAAATGAGATTGACAGCGTAATCTTTAATAATAAAATAATGGGAATAGTCTAAATTTCATGATTGTAACTGTTATCTATAAAAAAATTAAGGGGAGAAATGATTCAACTAGTAAAACTCTGAGTATTTATGTTTGAAAATTAATAATTGTATACTATGATAGCTTACTTTGGTAGCAGTATTGTGTGTAATTAAATTTTTTCCCCAAACAGTAGTGGACAAGATATTGAAAGCTAAGCAATATGATAACACTCTGGCATATATCATCATTTCTTCTTGAATAAATTACTTCTTTTTGTGATGGCTAAAACATAACACAATATATTTAGATGAGCATAGATCAAGTGAATGCAACAATTCTTTATGGCTACGATAACAAAATCTGATAATGACTTTGACGATGATAACAGCTATTTTTATCAGCATTGTAGATATTAATAAATTAGATTTCAATAATTGCAGTTTCTTTATGCTATTTGCTGAAAAAGAAGATTGTGAGCCACGTAACTAGGTTTTCAACTATGCTAAGTAACCACTACTTATGGTTTGCTGTGTCGAATTAAGATCCTAAGCTTTTCTAGAAAAAGTTATTCGCATATCTGCATAACATAGATGCTACGCATTACCAAACAAACGCAAAATTTTGCGTGATCCAGGACGGGATCGAACCGTCGCCCTTCTGCGTGTAAAGCAGACGTGATAACCGCTACACTACTGGACCACCGACACAGCTCAAGTACAACCTCTATATATACCTAGTCTTTTACGTAAGAATTCAAGTATTAAACAGTTTACAAATTCAAACTGTTTATTGATATAAACGATTTCGTATTCTAATAATTATTATC